TATATATATATATATATATATATATATATATATTATTTTAGTTAATTATACTTTTTAGTTAATGCAGAATCTCCGATTAAATAATTAAGTATACTAACTAATGATAAATAATTTATACACCCTCACAATATTTCACAAGTCCTAATTAATGTCCTAAGTGTAGTTTATGTACAAGATTGATAATCATTATCTGTCATTTCATTTCTTTTTTCCTCTCTCATCTTAAATCATTTTATATTTTATGTAAAATACAAAGAAATGTAAGGTAAATTAAGTGAAGAAAACATTATTCTTATATATTGAATGAGATGACAAATATGAGTTCCCACTATTATCCGTCAAATCTGCTGAGTTCCCACAAAAATCAGTGCGATGGCTTAATGGAACCACGAACACTTGAACTAAAACCATTCACCACGAAATTTGGGTCAATCTAAGGCAGCTACGTCTGTTATAATAATAATAATAACAACAAATCAGCAATGCCAACTTGCTACCCTGCGCAACAATACAAACCTATTTCATTATCTATTGGTCCCTATATTTGTTTTTTGAATTTTTGTACCTGCTTTCATATAGTCATTGGAATCATGATACCAATATATAATATGTATTGTTATGAACATTGTATTAATCAAATAGAAAACGACATAATTAGCATGCCCTACGGCCTGTAGCAACTTGGCAAATGGTACTTAATTTATGCTTCAGTTTGTGAGGTTGGTCAAGTTTTTTGGTCTGCGCGTCGGTATCAATGCCACACATTCATCCATTTATTTATTTTCTTTCCTTGGAATTTTAGGACAACTTGCTATTTTTGACAAAAAGTCCTCGGTTTTTATTTTCTGAATTCTCATACCATCTATGCCACAACTGTGTGCGTGCTTGGATCAACGTCAGTTCTTTTTAGCAAATTTATGTCCAAAATTAGAAATTGACAAAGAAACAAGGATTATTAATTTCATATTGATACAGCAAAAGTAAATAGACACTTAATTATTCCTCTTTGTTATGGTTGTATTAAGTAAAGCAACTAGAGTTATTATTCCTCGTTATTATTGAATAAAAATCATTATGATAGTACTTGTTTTTGAATGTTAAACGTCATGTAATATTTTGTAAATATATGTATTTAATCTATACTATTATATAAAGGATTCACTTTTTAGTATTCGTTTTTGGTTTACATAGACTTTTTTATCCTTTAATAATAATGACTCTGTCATTTCTCTCGCTCTCAAAACCACCTTCTCTCATGTTAGTATCTTTTTTTAGTTTATACATCTAGTTTTTTTCCCTTCTTATTTTATATAGGCATATAGCGTTTTGTTTCTAGTGTACAATTGATGGACCCACTCGAAAAACTACAAACAAGTCGAAACAATCATGTAGATTCCTCGAAAAATGATATGAAGATGGACACCTTTCAATAGCAAATATTCGAGATCGAGAAGAGCTATGCTCGAAAACTAGTAAAAGTGTAGTACCAATGGTCACATGAAGGTGGTCAAACGTCTAAATCGAGAAGTTAACATATGTGTGGACAGGTAAGTCGAGAGGTTAATATGAACGTGGGAGGACGGTTAAAGGAAATTATAACTCAAGACCACGTAGCAAGCATAGTGGATAGCGGTTATGAGTTAGAGGTGTACGTGCACAAAATTAATCGCTCTTGATTGCTCTATAAATACAAGGATTACGGACCGTAACAGAGGTCGAAAAACTCATACCAGAACTACTTTCAACTCGCTCACATGGCTTTCGTGCAAGGAATCGTTTTCGGGTATGACTGCTTCTTGACCACATTTCTTTTCTTGTTTTAGGAGTAGGTATAGTATAATTTCTTGTGTAGTTTCTTACTGTTCTTGTAAGCACGTAGTGAGATTATGTACTTTGAAGAGTATGCTCTATGTAATTTGATCACTACCTAAAGTGAACCATGATCTGTATTGCCAATATTATAATTGTTCACTCGATTCATCTAAGCGTTCATGTGCATGAAAATTGTTATATGCTGATCGTTGAGGAGTGTTGGGAAATGGGTAATCATTAATTATTCCACTCTGTTCTTCTTGGCGCGAAAAATATACCTAAATTGAAACACTCGCTGTGCTAGTCTACATAAAAAGAACCCGTAAAAGATTAATGGTTAATTCCACCGTAAACAACGATATAAAAAAAAAATACGAACACGGGCTTAGAGAGGATTTTTTGTTGTTGTTTTCTTATTGAATTTGCTTGGAAAAGAAAACGTCCATTGCATCAAGCGCAAGCCCAATCCTGATTGGGGTTTTAGAAGGGGCCGATTACCCTTGTTCTGTGGCCGATTGAAGCCCCAAAAATTCAAATAACTTCAATTGAGTTGGAAAAAAATATAAATAAACTTAATGACAAAATAATAAACAGAAGACCTTATATACAAATATTATAAAAGATAAATATTTATAGCATAAAAATAAATATATAATTTAATTTAAAAAATTATTGTATTAAAAATTATCATAATGTTAATAAATCTAAAAAAAATACATTATAACTTTCATTCAATTTATTTCTATATTATCATTTATTATAAAACGTTATCTAAATAACTTTGAGAACTCAAATTGATTTTTCAAATTAGAAGAACCAAAAAATATAAGACAAAATAAACTGAGGAACTAAATACAAACTTGAAAAATTTAGAGAGATTAAAAACATATTTTACCCTTTTATGAATATAATAGGGGGAAAAAAGTAAAAATAAAGATAAAAAGACTCTATAATCTTATTATATTTTTCATTAAGATATTAAAATAAATATATTAATTTATTTTAAAATATTATTAAAAAAAATATTATACAATTATATATATACTATTTTTAATTTTTGAGTTCCTGTTATAATTTTCATAACTTTAGTCCTTGTTATTATGGAGCCTCCAATTTCCTTATCTCTCTTTAGCCTTTGATGGCCATGCTCCTTCCTCACATTTCTAAAACGAATAGCTCTATATTTACTTAAACTTCACATAATTCCTATAATACTTTTTAAATTTATTTTTATCGTTTCACAAAGCATCAATTATCTTATTCTATATATTTCTCTCTTCCTTTCTTATGGCTTTACTTGTTTTAAAAGTTATTTTAAAATAAACAGTACGTTATATGAGTTGGAACCTTACTCCATAGTCCTATGACGAGTAATGTTATTAGTAGGATTAGAACACTCCATCACCAAAACATAATATACATTGTTCAAACTACTTAATTTTATTTGTACACTAAACAAACACAGGATTCCCCATTCTGTGATGATCACTGATTATCATTTTGGTGGCTAGATTTCTGAAGTATCTCCACTACTTGGCTCATGGTGGGCCTCTTGTCTTTCTCTTCCTCCACGCATTGCAAAGCCACTTTGCCCAAAGCTTCCATCTTACCCTCCTCATATACTCCTTCTACCGTGGGGTCTAAGATTTCATTAACCCACCCACTTCCCATTTTCTGTTTCTCTTTAAGCCACGCAACCAGGTTCAGATTCCGCTTCTCCACACCCTTATCATCACTGATAACAACATCCTTTGCTACGCTCTTTCCAGTGATCATCTCCAAAACAACAATTCCATAGCTATAAACGTCAACTTTGGATGTGATTGGTAGGTTAAAAACCCACTCAGGAGCCATGTAACCTCTTGTTCCACGTATCCTTGAAAAACTAGAGTATGTGCTAGTATCATTTCTGTTTCTCAGCTTGGACAACCCAAAATCCGCAACCTTGGGATGGTAGTTAGAATCTAGAAGTATGTTCTGGGGCTTTACATCACAGTGTAGAATCCACTCTAAACACTCCTCATGAAGATAAGCTAGACCTCTTGCTGTACCTAAGGCTATATCAAACCTTTTGGACCAATCCAATGCATTGGACTCGATATTTTGTGCTAGAGAGCCATGCTCCATGTACTCATACACCAATAGCCTGTGTTTTCCCTCAGCACAGTACCCCCACATCTCAATCAGGTTCATGTGGTTAAGCCTTCCAATGCTGCTTACTTCTGCGAGAAACTCTTCTTCTCCTTGATTAGCATCCTTGAGTCGCTTCACTGCTGCAACTCGTTGATCCAACAACACACCTTTGTACACAAACCCTCCTGCACCCCTTCCTATCTCTTCCCTAAACCCTCTCGTGGCTTGTTTCACCTCAGAATAACTGAATTTCCTAAAACCGGTCATGGCCAGATTATAGAGTCGTCCATCTACACCAGAATATTGCTTCCCCCGTGTTCTCACCAGAAAAAGCCAAATCACCAATATAGACGAAACTTGAAGCCCTCCCACTCCCCCTACAAACCAAACCAAGAACTTCACATATCTGCTTCCATGACCCATGTCATAAGCTCTCTCAAGCAGAACCGTTCTCAAACTGGAAGAACAATCAAGACCATGCTCACTTAGGGACCCCTCGTAAGAATAAGTACTGTTTGATGGGAGTTTCAAGTACAAATCAGCATTAAAATACGCTGTACGATACGCATTCCGCAACTGCAACTTGGGGTAACAGGTATAAGTGCCAGTGTCATAGACATAGGTATACTGGACTCCTCCGCAGTTGCATAATTGAAGGCATAACTCCAGACACTGACGGAGCGTGTAATTTTGCATGATCCCATAGTCATAGCCATACAACTCCACGTTACTTATACGCAAAAAGCGAGAGTGGTTTCCAGTGCAAGAAGTAGAGAATTCGGGTTGGCAGCCATAAGACCAATCACGATCATCCTTCCACTTATACCCGGGAAGGCAAGAGCACTTGACACTAGAATTTTGATTGTAAGAGCAGAAACTATTAGGGCCACAAATACCATGAATGTTACAGGGTCTTGCTTTGGCTTGCCACGTAATGGACCATTTGTCTCCACCGCGTCTGCGACTATAAACACGAAGGTTTCCATCGTGATCCAGGGTGAATCTTCTCTGCATGACGGCGCCGTAATCGGAAGTGGTGAAAGTGAAATCATCGGAAGAACTGAAGTTGCCGAGCGTGTCCATGACGGCGAGTCTGGTGTTGTTGTAAGTGGACCTTTTGGCGTTCCAAGTGAGCAACCATGGATCGGGCCAGTAAAGGCCAGAGACTTCGGGGCCGTCGTAGAGAAGACGAAGAATGTTGTCGTTGTCGAAGAAGAAGGAGTAGAAGCCGGAGGAGCTGTTGCTATCGCTTCGAGAAGAAACGAGTTTCGCGTGCCTCGTGAACACTTGCTGAGGCAGAAGCGTATCCGTTGGGAAATCAAAGCTTTGCCACAAAACGACACCGCCGCCCTTCGTTTCGCTGAGAACGAGGTTCCCAGTGTTGTGGAGAGATAGACGCAGAGAGGAGGAGAGCGAAACGGTGTTTGTGGACCATACGTGGGACTCGTCAGCGTCGCTCAGGGCGAGATTCCCGTTTTGGAGCAGCGAAAGCTTTGAGCCCCTGCCGTTTACGGGCTGCTCACGGTTTGCCATCCACACGGCGGTCGCGTTTTGGACGTCGGCTTGGGAGAACCAAACGGCCAAGGCATATGCGTTTTCACCAACGGCATAGAAGCCCGCAGAGAAGATGCCGTTTGGTGAGAGCATGATGTCGTTTGGGTCCTCCACTGAGAGGGATGACCCTTGTCGCATGGTATCCACCGCTGAAGATGGAGACCAAATAAGATAGAGGAAGATGAGTATTACATTTACAGCCATGGAATCAGTTATGATTCAGGTTCATCAGCTTCCATATATATGTTGCTCTCAAATTCACGTTTCATTTCATTACAATTATCATTCACTATTTACCATAATATATATATAAATGGTGTCATTGGGTACGTGACAGGAACGACTTTTTGGTCCGGCAAGGACTTGGTTTCATAGATTAATCATCTTCTAGAACTACAACTATGAACTATCTTCCACATTCAAACTACTCCTTTCTCTATTTAAACAAAAGGACGGCAATGCATATTATTGGCCTTATTAGTTATTTTCCATATTCGATTATATTTATTTATTTTAACAATTAATCATGCATATTCAACTCTAATTTTACTTTAAGATTCGATCATACAAATAAGACAATTTCAAATTTATATCATTAGTTTATTAATTAAAGATATAAACGTCAAGCATTTACCTTTAATTAAGAACGTAAGATAATACTAAATCCAAATTCAAAAATGTCTTGTACCTTTAAAAAACAAAATTGATAATACTTTTTAAAAGAAAATAATGATATATTGTAAAATTTTACTCATATATATAATAAAAAGGCATGTCTTGTTTTATCGATTAAAATTGTGTAGCCAGGACAATTGTGTAAGAAACTACCCTCTTTTCAAGTCAACGATTAAGGAATTATAGTATTCTAGAATATTCTCATAACAACTTGTTTGGGTAAATATTGTCCTATATTGCAATAAATATAATCATAACTTAATCGCAAGGAATATATTATATATGTGAATTATTGCATTACTTAATAATTATGCAAATCACTGAAGGTAACCGTCGTTGTGGCTGTTGACCACCCTGTTATCCAACTAATGAGATTGAGTAGATGTCGAAATCATTAATTCGTCACGACCATTAAATATTCACTCATCAAATATAAATCTAATAATTTTGCATTAAAAATTTAATAAATCAGAAGTTACACAAAATAAATTTATAAAAAAAAACATTTTTTATTGAATTAGATTAAATTTCATGTTTTATTTTGATACATAATTAAATTCAACCAAAACCAAAATTATAAATATATTTAATTATTGGACAAAAAATATATTTAACTAAATATAATTTTTAGTAACTATTTGAATAAAGGTATGTAAATGATTAATACAGTTTTTTTTAAACTGAATTAAACTAAGAATGTCCATAGGATCATAGCTATATAAAGAAGTAATTCTATATCTTGAAAATAATAGAGATAAACAAACATGGATTTATTGAGTTTTGGATTCCTTTTTTATGTGAAAAATAAATTTAAATTTGTATAAGTTTAAATGTCTCATTTAATCAAGTGGAGGAAGTCCACATCATGGTAGAGTGTGAATGACTCATTTTGAAAAAAACATTAACAGAATATAGAGGGAAGAGAAGAGTGAAAATTACATTGTTCAATTGCATATCCACAATATCCTTTGTCCAATTATAATTAGAGATTCGTTTACCATTGGATGAAATCTATAAACAATAGGATTGAAAGCAATAGTCTTTGATTTGCTATGGTTTATTGGTGCATTCATTAAAGACTCTCTTGTACTTTTTATTGATCTTAGTGAAATTTTATTTTGACTTGAACGACTCATGATTTTTATCCTTCTATTAAGAATTTTTCACATTAAAAATATTTATATGTATTTATTGTACTTTTGAGTTATTTATTTTTGTTCTATTTTGTTGATATTTCTTGTTGATTCTTATAAGTATAGAGATTTAATTTTCACTCCGTTATTATTTTTTTAAGTTTTTATTGTGTTAGACTTTTACTCATCAATATTGCACCTAGTTACATTAATTGTATGGTGAAAAGTGTGGGTTTGTGTTACAGAAATCTTGCAAATTTTGAAAACATGAACCACTCAAATAATTTTCAGCGGTTAAGGATGCAATGGGATTTTGTTTGGTTTGTATATAACGTTCAATTACAAAGACGAAGGCAAATAAAAGCAGCAAAAGACCGAAAACAGCGACAGAAAATAACATGAAATTTGGTTTGAGTTTGAGCATCGGAAGGCAGTTAGTTGACAATTATTGTCTGGAGACTGCATAATCAACCCTCCTCTCTCCTTAAAGTATATTAAGATATTTTAAAATAAATAGAATGGAACAGAATTAAATAAAATGGAGTAGAATAAAACAAACTTTTTATCCATTATTTGAATGAATATTTGATGATAGAACGAAACGAACCCTTCATCATTTGATAAGTAAATGAAATGATTTTCAACTTTTTCATTTCCTTACCTTTATTTTAAATATACATTGTATTTTTATTTTTTTACTTTTATTTTGAACTTATCCATTGGATCACGTTAGACCGAATTTCTTAAGGACTACAAATTTGTTAACTTGACCTATATAGTCTATCTATCAACTCAGATCAAACTAGACTTTTTTTAGCTCTTTATGAGCTCAGTTTACCCTCTCTCTTTTTTTTTTTAATTCTGAATCAGTTTATCCGTCTAGTCAAACTAAATTGATCGAATTTTTTTCAAAATTTAAAAATTTAACAGCTCTACCCAATCTAAACCATTTAACGAGGCCAAATTTAACATTTCTTTTGTCATCACCCAAAATTACAAACAGACCAATTTTAGCAGCCCTTTTGTCATCGCCCAAAACTACAAACAGACCAATTTTGACAGCTCTATTATCCTGTCTATCCGTCATCCAAAACTACAAACAAATGTTGCGCTGCAACTATCTGAAATTGGATAAATGCTTTTGTTTGAACTTTGGTTATCTTTGTATGTATGGTGCTGTACAGTGCTCGCAAAGTTCATTGTCTTTCACTTTTATAGAATCAGATGATAAAAAGCATAACGTTGTTACAATAAGAAACTATAGTTTCATATCTTTAAAGTTTATGGCAATAAAAATGTAGTCACCCAATTACTAGTTTGGTGGATAAAAATGAATAACATAAATTAATTTTATAAAACTCGGTGACACAGAGAACAAAGTTCAATTTTCTGGAAAGATAATTCATAGGATAAAAATAAAGACTATAATTATCTAGTAATAATAAGAATTAATCACCTATATATACACTGCCAGTATAAATTTTTTTTAAACTAACAACCAATCATATTTTTTAATAGTGTCATGTTAATTGTTCATTTAATAAAATAAAAATAAAATAAAATAATTTAAAAAATATGATTAATTGTCGGTGTAAAAATCTTTACACTGGCAATGCATGGATGATTAACTCTAAAAATAATAATAAATTTATTCTTTGGTTCTTTGAAAACGAAGTAAATTGATGGACATGGCCACCTAGCCAGTGATAACGAAGTAAATTGTCAAAGCAAATCAAACACAGGAAAACGGTAACATGAACAATGGATACAATGGCACACCGCAACACTTTTCAACGACGAACGAAATTGGATTAATAAAAATTTGTGAAGAGGGCGAAAGTAGTGTTTAGCGGAAAGGCGACAAGAATGAATAGTGAAGTGTGGAAAGAAGATAATAAGACGGGGATGAAATAGCAATAGAATGAAAAATTGGAAAGGAAGAAAAATGACAGTCGTAGAATGAGATGGAATACATGCCATTGGGTTTCATTCCGTTCCATCCAATCCAAAATGGAATATGAATTATTCCATTTCATTCCATTCCACCGATTCAAACATAGCCATGGAAAATCTGATATCACATCATTTTGATGAGAAAAAATAAAAATAAACTGCTATTGTGACAAGCATTCTATACCAGCAGCAGCTATGAAACTATGTACAAAGCAAAATCAATTCTTGTCCAAAAGTCTAGTGACCTTGTTTGTTGGTGCTGTTCTCAATATCTTCTGCAACATGATAAGTAGAAAGGAAAAATGCGCTCTGGTTTTTTTGCAAGAACCTGCACCATAAAGTGGATAATTATGCATCAAAATTTGCTGGTGAAATGCCAACAGAATTATTTCCCCATTTAAACTCATCAGGAATGACTATTTTTAATATAAAACTAGGAGAAAAACATTGAAACCTGAGAAAGTCAAGAAAGTGTGCCTGTAGTTCTATCAATGTCTCCTCTTCAATGCTAGCGTAAAACAATAACTCGGGCAACTTAACTTCAAAGGTCAAATACAGAAAAGAAGAGGGAAAAAAAAAAAAAAAAAAAAAAAAAAAAAAAAAAAAAAAAAAACAAGGCACCACTAATTAGAATCCCAAAATATTGGAAGACATAATAAAGCTCTACAAAATGCAGACTTGACAAAATCATGATCTCATAGCAATAAACTCGTGCAAGGCTGAATCCAAAGGGCCAGCATTTTGCTGTAGACAAACCTGACAACTATCTATATTTCCATTACAACATGATGTAAAAAAGAGTCGAGAGTCATGACAAACTAACAAAAAGTTGAACTTGAAACCTATAATAAGCTCGTCAGGTAGCAGACAAACGAGCATACCAAAAAGACGTAACAAATGCTCAGCACCATATATAGCAGAAGGAGAGACATTGGCTGGACAAGCCTCTTGGTACTGTTGGCGCTCGTTATTGTACAAGAGTATCACTGGCAGTGCTTTGTCAAAGTAACAACACACTCCTTTCATAATTTCTTCAACTGAACCAGCCATCCTGTATTAAATTTAGTATTAAACAGTAACAATAAACACCATAAGTAAAAATATAAGACTCTAGCTGTACCCAAAACTGAAACAGTAATGAATTCAACACTATATAATTACAAAACTTGCAAAGCTGATTGTAGACAGACTAATCAAACTGAAACTCTACTTGGATATGGTATTTACTGGGCAGAAAAACAAAATTATATTCCAAAAAAATACTTTAAAATATGGGTAAATGATTTATGAAAAGATTAAGAGGCAGGGGTTTATTCTAAATAATAATAATAACAACTTTGGTTAAAATGATTGCTGTTTCCATGTTTCCGTTCAAACTGATTAACTGTTTAAAATAATTTGATGCACACTTCAATTCCCAATATAGAAAAAAAAAAATATTTCAACATCAAGCTTAAAAAGTGGAGGGGTGTGTTAGCATGAACTTACGAGCCACATTTCTTCAATCTGTAATCAAAATAATTTTTCAATATGTCATTCACATTAGGAGTACGAGGAAGTTTAACAAGCTGCAGAGGACAAAAAACATAAATTCAACAATTTGAATGACTTCTTGGACGTAAAACGGTATTCTGTAACAATTAACAAGCTATATCTGTAATATCAACTTGCTACTAGAGAAAATGAGGCACCGAGTAATCTTTGTAAATTACATTAATATATTATAGATGAAATCGTTACCTTGCCCAGATGTGTAATAAACTCACAATCATCAACTAATTTTTTTTTTAGTGTTGTAGGAATTTGAATGTTGACAAGCTTCTCAGGATCAACCCCAGGTTTTGCCTACAAATAATCAAGCAATAAAATCAAGTAAATTTATATCCGTAGGCCAAAACAGAATTGAGAAGAACCATCCCCATACCTCCCTACGGAACAAAAACATCAGCGAAAAGTTTGCTATATTTACACTTAAATTATTCAACTAAGCCGACTAGCAAGTTGAAACCAAGAATGGATTTCAAAGGGGAAGGCTCGGAAGACAGATTGAACTCCTTATATAAATTGGATTTTTTGCCCACCCCTACCTTATATAAATTGAAATTTAAAATGAGAGAGTACCTTGGTGACAGATTCATTCCTTCGTTTCCTGCCTCTTGAAACTGCATTTCATTTTTTCCCAGAACGTCTCAGAAATACTAGGGACACAGTGAAGTAAAATTTGATCTTTTACATATTTACATGTGGTTATAAATCATAAAGTCCTTTTAATTTACAACATAAGCTACAAGAATAATTACATTAAAACAAGGAATACATCGAGTATTATATCATATATCTTCTTGATCAAATGGCTGCCAACTTTTAAGTGGAAAGAAGAACTAAGCACAGATGCAAGGAATAGTACATGATCAGATCTATGTTGGGTGTGGGGCTCCAACTAAGCACAAGGATTTTCCACCATTGGCCCCAATATAAATCTAGAATTTCCTCAACTGCACTGTCACTCACTAAACAAGTGGAATGCAATATTATAAAAGATAAGTCATTAAACTTTGCATATTAACTAAGAAGACGAATAAATATATATTCTGCTCATTTGAAAGTCGTCCCATTAAATAAAGTGGAAGAGGTAACTATTAGTGACAAATTCAAGAGAATTGGTTTTCACAAATTCATAGACTGCTTCTGAGTTGCTTGTAGTTTATTACTAAAAGGTCCAAAATTATTTATTCTAATTAGTGCTTCACTATCAGTTTACTCTACGAGTATAGGTGTTAGTATACAATTGCAAGGTATGGAATTTGAGGCTCACATCAAAATACGGGATTCTAGTGTGTGGGGAGTTTATATTATTTATAAAGCCTTGAGTTCTCCAGCTACAACAGTTAGCCTCTTTGGGTGGTTCTTCCAAGGAGAATTCCATAAGACCTTTCTTCCTATAAGCTGCTCAGTCTTCTATGCAATTTATTATCTCACTGTTAGGTATATTGACTAATACAACAACAACAAAGTCTTATCCCACAATTCAAAGAGAAATGATATGTTTTCCTTACTTTGAAAAATGAAAAACTTGTCCAATTATAATTTCACAGTTTTCTCCTATGGATATATATATTAATTATGTTTTTATTTAAATGCATATATACTCATTTAATACATTCACAAAATAATTGTTCATATTTTTGTATTTCCCTATTGTACAATATTTTTTGGATCAGCATCAGCCACTGAACTAGAACAGAATACCATAAAAAGTTAATTTGGAGATAAAGCACATAAGGCCATCTCCAGTTAGAGGTACCAGTTCTTAAAATAAGAACTGGTTCTTAATTTTTTTTTATTATTGGAGTGAAGTGACATGACTTCCATGTGTAGAACTTATTTTTCTATAACCCAGAAGCACCGGGTTCTTGAAGCAAAAAAGAAAGAAAATGAGTCTATTGTGGAACTCACATAAAGTAAATTAAGAATTTAAATTAGGTTTTTCTATTGGAATAAAAAGTAGGAAAAGTTTTTAAATCCTACATGGCATTGAGGGACTCACAAAAAGTGCATTAAGAACCCAAAATAGATTCTATTATTAGAGATGCTCTAATACATATATTAAAAAAAGATTTTGATGCCAACCCCCAAATACTCATAACCATAGAGTCAAATTATGAGAAGTTCCCAGTTCCCGAACATGATGAAGGTCTTAAACAAATCGTTTCTAACCATGTATATTCAGTATGACAATGCCTCTACGGAGACAAATTAGAGAGCGATCATTCAAGAACTAAATCAACTCTAATCCTACGACAACAAAATGCACAAACATCAAAATATTTCCTTCCCATCCCCCTCACCCTACCAGACACAAAACACATGAAGTCATCTGCACACCAAGAAAAATACGATGAACCTTTAGGCTGGATTCCTAAATGAGAAGTGAGTCAGACAACATCAACCTCTACATTCTCCAGTTGAGAACGACAACACATACAAAATCGAATCAAAAGTCATTCTACTAATTAATTTGGCAATCACACAGTCACTAGCTCTCCACTACAGCAAGTCATTGAGATTGAGGTAAGTAGAGTGCATAAAGAAAACATCTGACCGTAAGTAGTCTTGGATTTAGCCTGAGAGCCACGCGGGACTTTAGCATTCTTTTCATTGCCATGTTTCTCGTCAAGGGCATGTTTCTTGCGCATATTCTCCTCAGTGTGTTTCATCAAACGATCCATGCCAACCCATTCATCCCAACTGCAGCAAACACACAAAGGGTGGCAAACTAAGCCCGCAGTTCTTAACCGAACGTTGAATAAGACGACAATACACTTACCTTTTCTTCCAACCCTGAAAACAAAAAATGAATCCAAATGAGAAGGCAGTGGCAGGTAACGGAATAGTTTAGTGAAAGTAGAGAAATGCTTACGAGATAATGAACATGGAAGAGCCATGCTTTACGGTTGTGTTCAACTTTCCTAACCTTTTAAACAAGACAAGTATTTGGGTTGTGACTTGTGAGTGATTTTGGAATTAGGGGAAAAGAAAGAATATTTATATATAATAAAAAGAACCTTGGCTTCATAAAGGCATTGATTGTGGTTGGCTAAGACCTTCTCTCCCTCGACGTAGGGAGCAACGGAGCTATGATTGTCAGTTTCAGACTGCGTGCTGCTGCTGCTATTGGAATTCTCTGTGCTTGTCTTGGAAATCTCCATTTCCTATTTCCTATTTCCTATTTCCTATTTCCTATTTCTCCTCCTTCTTCTTCTTCTTCTTCCGATTTGA